CCGAAGATTCGATTGTGGCTAGTACAGACCTCTTCAGTTGCAATTGCACAGTAAGGGCCCAGGTGGAACCCAGGATAATGGGGTTGTCGGTTGCATTCTGTGTTTTCAACAATCAACTCTCGAGAACAGCTGTCGGTGGTAGACTTGTAGAGACATTAAAGAAAACCAGGTTGCTAGTTAGATAATAGCCATAGGAATCAAGGGAGATAGTACTTGCTATAGCCGTACCCCGTTACCCTGGATGGTCAAGATTCAGGACCCGCTATCCGGGACAATGGTGCATGTGGGAGAGTGAAGGGTAAAAACAAGTAGACAAGAGGTCCCGGAATGATTTGTTAAATCCTCGGTTTTTATTGGGAACCATGGCATGCACCCTAAAGCGTGGCCTAAAACCCTATATAACAAAAAAACTTCAAGCCCCCCAAAACATAACAAATATGAGACTATACCAGTTAAAATGTACACATCGGGCCTCCACCTCAGAAAATGTATTTTTGCTTAGCCACCCAGCTAGAGAGGTAATGATCAATCAACGACCTTTGTAGCTCATTTTATGTCTAAAAGTCAAATCTTTGTTTTTTGGGTGTTGCCTCCGTTGTAATGAGTTTGGCCACAGACAACAAAAAAGCCCCAGGAACACATTTTAACTGGTACGTACTCATGTGGTGAAATATAAAAGATTTCTCCTGTCAACAGTACCGGAAATTTTCTTAAGATCTCAAATCTTGTAAATTCGTAAGAGGAAAAAGAGGTCCCGGAATGATCTGACTCACTAATGGTACTTGATAGAGAACTTCCTGTTCCAGTCAGTGAGTCCACCTCACTGTGCCACCCGTGGATCGCCTAAACACGACCAAAAAGTACACCACACCACAATTCAGAAAAGCCCGGCACAACGCTTTTGGAAAGATAAGGGTCTGATATCCGTAACGAAAACTTCTGAAATGAACATTTTCAAACCTTTCCCGGCAAGTGAAATGTCCCTGTAGCTCTCCCAGAGACCAGACAGATAGGGGGGTGTGTTTTTGGCTGGGGTAGGTTCACGACATGGGACGCTGGATACTATATGTTTTCGATGCGGGCTGGGGCTAGAGATTTGTAAGCTCCGGTCTGGTCGGGAAAACATCCATAATACTATGGGACAAGGGTATCTGTTTATATATCTTCGACAGATCCCGAAAATTGTCCGGGACGGGGAAGAATCAGGGAGCAAATCCGGGACAAGGGGGTGTGATTGTTATTGTGCGGTGTTGTTGGTTGCTAGTGGGGATGTGTTTGTTGCTAGTGGGATGTGTCGGGGCAAGCGAGATTGCCAACTGATACGGGGTCACGCCCCAAGACAAGGAAACCCGCAACTATGATACTGTCCAAGGTCACACAATAATCTGGACAACTAGGGGTGTCTCCTAGAAGCTTCATAGAAAAATGAACTTCTCAATGCCCCTAATTTCTTTTCTGGATGCTTGGCTATGTTTTTCTTTGCGTTATAAAATACCTTACATTTCTAATCGGATAACCAATAACTAGGGGAAGGACAACGACAAAAGCGGATTAATCGGCTGGGACGCTTGCGGAATCGCTTCGGAGCCCAGAAAAAGGAAATCGCGATGAACTCCTGGAAGTGGGCATTTTCGCTTGACAACCTGGTAATGTGAGATGTGCTTTACAAACACTTCCGCCGAGTATCTCATTGCACCGTAAATCAAAACCTGACACAAATGTGTCATTCTGGTTTCCAGTTCTTTATCTTCCCCCCATAAGGGTTAATGATACAATTACAGCTGTTTTATATAATAATCTAGTTTTTTGATAGAACTAACTATCAGTCAGAGGAAGAACTGGTGAGAGCTCGTCCACCAAAATCAACCACTTTTGACAGTAACATAATCTACTGGTATAGCGATTCAGGAACCCGTGTTCAGGGTATTACTAAAATACACGGATGGGGTGGGTAAGAACTTAGCAATTTGGTATATGTCTTAATGTTTACAATGGATTGTGGATGCGTACTTATATATTGGGAATCGTAAAAACCATCTCAACCATCTGAAGCTTAGTTTTTGCTCATGATTCACAATTGCTAAATTGTTGAGAGATGTAGCAAGACATCTAGACCATACCAATTTATTTGAAGGGGGGGGGAGGGCGATAGTTATTCTACAGGTATCAGATCACCAATCACACTGCATATCCGACTCATGCTATGGTAGACCCAAATAGCACAAAGAAAGGAAGTGGTTGTGGGTCCAATGAATAATATTTGTGGCAGTTATCAAGAGACTTTGTACAAGTACTGAACCTCTAGCGACCTGCATGAGTACACTCGGGATTGAACATTAAACTCAACTTATATCCTAAACCATTCACCAATGGTTTGCGAACACTAAGTAAACCTGATGCTTTATTCATCGTCACGTAGTCCAATATAGCGTGAGAAGCGAGTCCTACGAACAGCCAGAGTACCACCTGTCTCTAAGCCGAGAGCCAAGAGGAGCGTATCAACTCTGTCACCTGTATTCCACAGTTTAGATTCAACATCTCTCCGCAAAAGTTTAGAGACTTACCACGGAGCCTCTTAGCATGTCCTAGGGTGGCTGGAAAGTTAGGAACCAATTGTCCATTGATGCCATAGAATGGTTCCAAAGGTGTTCCATCAAGACTGGCGCTATTGTTGATGACTCTGGCGATAGAGTTTTTATCCCTGGGATAGGTTACATTGTTAGCTATGGTACAAATAAATAATAGATAAAAATATAGCGAATACTTACTGGCGGGAACCTTCCTCTTTGAGCCCTTCCACTTGCTGCAAGATTTCTGCCTGTCCTTCCTGCAGGGTAGTCTGTTCTTCTTGGAGTACGACTTGTCCTTGTTGGAGGATAGCTAGCCCTTCTTGGAGAGCATCTTGTCCCTGTTGAAGGACAACTTGGCCTTCGCGGAGGGCAATTTGTCCTTGCTGAATTTGGTGTAAGAGTGCCAGTATTTCAGCACCTTGATTCAAGGAGAAGGCATCGCCACTAGCAGTTCCGGTGGTCGTATTATGGGGACTTGGGAAAATATTTTCCATCTTGAATTGTTGATTGTAGTGTTGCTCTGAAATATTTTCCAATGAAGAGAATTGAATGGGCAGACTGAGAATGGTGGGGTTGTGGGGGTTAGATTTAGAAAGAATTTTCATTAGTTAGAGGTTTATTTAGGTTAGGTCTAAATGAGGAATGCATAAAGTTTAAATAATCCACCACAATCCTAAAACTTCAAACAATGATAATCCAAAGCTAGTATTAGAAATCAGCGATCTACTGTGAACCTGCTCCATTCGCTCGACACAATTTACTATGGTTGTACAAACAAAATTTAGAAAATAAATGAGTTTTCCAAATAATGGAGAACGCAGTGAGGCTGAAGAAATACTAGTTTCATCGATAGTATGATTTTACAAACTGTGCCCTCCCATTACTAATTTACTTTCAAAGGATTTAAAAACAGAAAAACCTGCCTATTGCAACTTATCTAGTACCAAGATTATGAACTTTAAAGAATTAACATTCATCTCTCAATACGCTGCATGGCGGTAGACAGCCTACTGGTCTGATATCACATCTGCGCCCGTTTGGCTTGACTTCATTACCCTCACTCACTTCAGAAGCCATCTAAAAAACCCCCCGGGTTTCTCAAGTGGGAGTTTGGGGGTAATTATTTGGCGCTAATACTATTTACATCGCAGTCCCTGGCGGTTCTCCATAGCCGAGTGCAGTCACATCCCATCACTCGCAGTCAGCTGCCGATGGAAGTCGCCTGGCTACCAGAGGGAGGCCGGAGCACATTGAAATTGGGGGTTTTGGAGCCACTATATCTCTGCAGATATCTGAAACCTAGCCTTTAAAAAAAAGGTTACCATGTCTGAAGTATAATATATCTTTACTTTAATTTTTTGTAAACTCGAGTAGAGCTCATGCAGAGCTGAGGGCAAACGAATTGGGCAAGATCTTTTGCGGCGCATCCTTCCCTGTGCAAAAACCCTAGTCTGGGTAGTTATGATAGCTGGAAGGAAAGGGCTATAAAAAAGGCTCTCCACACCAAACAACCCAAGTAGGGTTAGGGGGAAAACAACCCCCCCTTTTTTTCTGCGCATTCTATTGCAACAAAAGGCTTTTGAATTTACTCTCGGTTGTTTCCACCAATGGTGGATGTGAAACGGACTACGGATCATCAAAAAAATAGTCCCGAATTACTTCTGGTAGCCTTTGTTGGATTACCAAAAGGCCTCTATGACCGCGATCACCGGTGGCGTTCTACAGTTCACACAGACCTTGCTGTCACTAGCAATATAACACCCTACTATCGTTTGCAATTTCCCTTCAGTCCCTCATTGCCCCCGGGAGTTCTAAATGGTCTCCTATGCCGTCTTATGGTACATTTTAAGTCGGTCGTCCTCCCAAGTAACGGCTGTCCTGAGACTTCTTAGGGGAAGAGAGAAAATGCTTCGCAGTCCTATCTCACAGGTTGCCCTTAGTGGCTATCCCGTCAGCCTATGCTCTGAAGCGAATGAGGGCTTGGACGGGTATGATACCGTATCAAACTGGTATTAGCATCAAAGGTTTGGTACACAATAAAATAATAAGGAATTGGTTCCGGGTTATCACCGGTATACCGCCCATACTAAATGCCACGTATCTAGGACGATCCGCTGCTGCCCCCCACACTTGCTCGTATTTTGCACCATACAGGGACCGACTCTGCTATCCACTCACGCCCTATTAATAATCGCTTCATGGCGTTTAAGGAAGTACTTACTGAGATACGTACTCAAACCCCTCAGCAAGACACAAATTTTTTTCAATCTAGTTCTTGTACATAATTCGTTGTTGATGGATAGCACCACGACGCTGGGGAAAAATGGCGATTTCTCCGGTAACAGACCGTGACTCACAGGAAATTATTCCCAGAAGGTTCCCCTTACCATGAGGTAGACCCAAGTGGCATAAAGAACGTGCTTATGAGTTCCATGAAAACAACTTATTAGAAGTATCCATAGTCTTCACAAAATTGCTATTCTCATAACACCTCAGATAAATATACTCGGGAGCAAACACACTCAATCAGACCCACAACCAAAGCCAACAGCCAATTCAGAAAATGCGCAAACGCCTTGTTCCCAGGATAGTAAAAATTGGTATTGTGCCTCCCGGGTACTTTATTCGTCATCACGTAGCCCAATGTACCTCTTGAAGCGAGTCTGACGGACTGCCAACGACCCAGCAACCCCCAAACCCAGCGCCAAAAGAAGGGCATCGACTCTGTCACCTATGTTGGTTAGGTTAGATCAGATTTCTCTGGCTACAAGCTTAGGTACTTACTACGGAGTCTCTTGGCATGTCCAAGAGTTGGTGGAAAGTGAGGGACCAATTGTCCATTGATACCGTAGAATGGTTCTAGGAGTGTGTCATCTAGCCTGGCATTATTGTTGATGACACGGGCGATGGAGTTTTTATCTCTGGGACCAGTTACGCCATCAGTCAATTTGCAAATAAAAATAAATATAAGACAGACTTACTGGCGGGAACCTTCATCTCTGAGCTCATCGACCTGCTGCAGGATGTCTGCCTGCCCTTCCAGGAGGGCAGCCTGTTCTCCCCGGAAGTCAGTTTGCCCTTGTTGGAGGGCAGCCTGTCCTTCCTGGAGAGCAGTCTGCGCCTGCTGGAGGGAAACTTGTCCTTCGTGAAGGGCAGCTTGTCCCTGTTGGAGTTGTTGCAGAAGTGCCAATATTTCAGCCACTTGGATGCAGATATGTTAGCGACATGGGAGCTATAGTGGGTGAGGCGCAGAGACCTTGCGAAACACTTTCCATGCCAGGCTGTGGCAAAATTTGACTGTCAGTTTGTTCCGGAATATCTGCCATTGCAGCGAGCTTGATCGGGATGTTGCGAAACGTTGGGTTGTGAAAGTTAAATTTAGAAGGGTTTTTTTGTCGGTCAAAGGTTTGTTTGGGGTTGGGTGTGCTTGTGGTGTGTTGACTCCAGCAGTCTAGGTGTGTCCAGTAACAGGTGTCGAGTAACAGGTATGATACCATGTTAGATAAAAAATTATGGAGCCATTATTTGGCGTTAACATGGAAAATTTATCACTGCCGGTTCCAGTTAATGAGTCCCTCGTGCACTTTCCTGCGGGAACCTGGACTGGATTCAGAAACGCTCTTGGCATAATTTCCCATTAAAATCTAGTTTGAAATCGAACCTTGCCAATCACCCTCCAGTTCGGTTCCGGTTTCGACGAGGACTTGTGTGACCAATTTTTTCCTGTCTAGTTTATTCGGGCTCTACTTAAACGGTTTATTTTTTTAGTATCCAAGCACCCAACAAATCTTCGAAAATCTAAACACCACCCCCCCTCTGCCCACATTCGAAAGGCTCAGAAGTCTATCACAGGAACTTTCCTATGATACAGTTGCCCAACCATCCCGGAGGCAGTGATTCTCTACACGCCGGTACTTATTTTTGGACGCAGAAAATAAATAACAGACAAGAGACCGGTACTGGGGGACCCAATTCCACGGAAGACAATTTTCTATCCGACTGTCTGACTCGTGGATGTCCCCGCTATCTGTTGCGACAAGAGGGCTTGGTTTCGATATGAGAGGCATGGAGTGGACCTCTATCATATATTTAAGCCTGGTAGTTTGTACAGTACTGTTTTCTGAGAAGGACAACGCCCCCCCCCACTGCCCTGCACGAGAGGTCTCCCAAAGTACTTGTACCCAACAGGTTCCGGACCTTCACGCGCAATCTCACCTCACCGCAACCACCACAAACTAGAAACCCAGAAAATCGGACCCCCCACGATGAGAGAATAACTTAGTAAGTGACCCAGATTTTTCTTTCCAAGCTCCAAATCTTTCCAGATTCTTCGAAGAAATCCTCCTATCCCTTGTGCGAAAACACCTCCCCGGGTATGATACCCGTACCCATCAATAAGTTGAATGAACAGCTAATCTATTTTACCTTACCGGGAAAAACAGTCCTACCGGTACCTCCTATGAAGCGTCTCCCCCCGTATGATACTTGCACCAGAAGGAAGTTGGTTTGTGACTGCATCCGAGGTCCTGGGTCGCGGGTAGCGGCGTGCCTTGGTATTGTGTATAGTACTTGTACTTATCGTACAGCCCCTAGTAGCGTTCAATCCTTGTTCGCCGACCCTGGTTACACACCCAAGTCGGGGAGTGTGGGAGAGAGGACAATAAAAATTTAACGGCGACCACCAAGCATTGAAACGGTTGAGATTAGTAAGGCAACAGAAACACCACTCCGATAGCCAGCTAAGTGGGGAAGTTTGCTCGGACTCATTCAACTCTCACTCCGAACTATCGCTCAACTCAACTAACTAATGTACTTGGGCACGTTAGTTTACGATCAAGTCCATCTACCACCCGAAATCGAACTCCACTCTTTCCGGGCTACCATCGCCCGCGCCACAGTATCGAAGCCTTACCCCCCATTTCCTCTGCTACTGCGGCAACGGGCTCAAAATTAGCAATACTTCCAGTATCACAGCAGACACAAAACGTCGTATCATCCGCCCCTTCTACGGCTGATGTCGTAGTTTTTTGACTTGCCGGTGGTGTTCCGGTATACCCCGTCCAGCTGGCCCAGACTCTCAGCAACCAGCCAGCCAAAGATTTTGATTACCCGAAAAGGTAGAGGTTATAGGAGAACGGTCAAGTTTAAATGCTATTTTATTTATTTCTCGAGATATGCGAAGTCCTATGTACGAGCAGTTTCTGTTTCCACAAACCCCCGTTCGTGGAGTACAGTGTCGAAACCTTTGCACACAGATCCATCTTGCCACGGGCCGATCTTAGCAATTAAGTATATCTACTCCCTACAACCGATACCGCCTACGCTGCTACTAACAACAAGAATAAGGCATGGTGGCATAGAGCAGGGCAGTCGGGTCCGTGTCATTTATGACGGAGAACGTACGAGCGATCGGGGGCGCCTAGGTACGATGCTAGCATAGAGGAATGAACCGCCAAGAGAGGATAAAAAGGGCATAACAGACGGACCTCAGTACAGCTAGTTGTCTCATCCGTCGCTCTGCCCCCACCACCCTCATCTGTTAGAAATCGCGCACGCCGCCCGACACGCCCAGGTTATTGTTTCGCTCGTTCGCATAGGGTTCGGAGATGCACTTTGGACCGGCACATCCGTGGAAGGAAGACACGTATCCACCGGAAGCCAATTATGTTCCCGCAGGAAGCAGGGCGGGAGAGTCAAATGAACTGTGCGGGGGGCAGCGAGCGGTGGGAGTCTTTATGAAGCTTGGTTTTTTCTCTTCGTTTGTTAGCACGGGAACACGCAGATATGAAAGGGAGACAAATGTGGGCGAGAGTGGATACCCGTGGCGACGATGAAAGGATAGGAGGGAGGTCTCTGTCGCAGTTTACGGAGGTACAGTACTGCACAGCCCGTAAGTTTTATATTTTATGTTGAAAATGGCAGTTAAGTACCCGTAGCTCAGACTGGAGGCTACAGTGGTGTGCGTACCTCTCAGATGAGGACGCGTAAGCAGTGAAAAGTTTTCACCTTATTTCTTTTCTTTTTTTTTTTCTTCTCAGCCTTCTCAACCCTTAATAAGTCGACAACTAACTCCACTCCACACCTCTTGTATGAAACTCTCCTCACTCCTTATTCTCTACTCTTCACACACATACAATACAAGGTTCCCTCATTACCATTAGAGCCAACTCAGTCCACTGCATAAAACCCACCTTTCAGTCATTACTGTTGCAACGACAACCGGTTTTATCCTGTCTGTCGTCCTCAATTTCCAACAGGTTATGAGCCCGGGTTTTGCGTAACTCCAGTTGGCTCCTTTACTCGCTCCCGCCTGTCTCTCCTGCAATTGTTGCTGCAATGTCAACATCTGATCGAACTTCGAAACTTTCTTCTTCCGCTACCGGTACAGTAGAGATTTTTACTTGTAAATTCGGCACGACTCAAAAGCTTAACGAATCGAACTTTCACCATTCGAGTGAGGACCTTAAAGCTTTTATGAGAGCTGATCAAACCTATGATGTCATCTTCAAAAATCAAAATCCTCCAACACCCGATCAGCAGCCAGCCTACGCTGAATATCGAAATATAATCAATCGAGCATTTGGAATGATTTTTACCTCCTGTACCTAACAAGCCAAGCAACACATTCGTGGCCTTGACTGTCCTATTGCTATGTGGGCTTCACTTCAGAAAAAGTACGACATTACTGCTTCGCGAATTGGACGGTCAACACTTCAGCGTCAATTCTTCGCCCTGCATCTTGAGCCTGGGATGCAAATTAATGACCTGATTTTGGCAATGAAGTCTCTACAATCGTGACTTCTTGGTACTGATATGGAAATCTCGCCAAACTCCTTTGTATTTCTTCTAAACTCTCGCCTTCGAGAAGAGTACCTACCTACCATGGATCGAGTACTCTCTGAGTCAGACCTAGATATCGATTGGCTCATAGAGGCTATTCTCCAGAAGGAACAAGCCATTAGAGAAAGAAAAGATGATGTGAGTGGATCAAACACAGCTGGAGCCTCGACTACAGCACTTGCTGCAGGCATCACCTATTCAACTCCGAGTCGAGGAAGGACACGAGGTTCACAGTACAACCGCATCTACAATCGAGGAAGATACAGCAACACCAACTTCGGTAGAGGTCAAAACCAAAGACATGAGGGACGATCTGGGCTAGTGTGCAATTATTGTACCAAAAGAGGCCATCGAGAAGTGAATTGCTTTATCAAACAAAGAGCTGAGCAAAGGAGTTGAGCTCTCCATCCAACCAATTCCCATTCATCACTGCGTAGTCGCATCTCCAGGAATCACAATGAAGAGGCTCTTATTGCATCTTATATTTCTGAAAATGCCCTCATTGTTGATACTGCTTCGATTGCCCTGAAGCAGGCCAATTGGATCATTGATAGTGGAGCATCTGATCATCTTACCCATGACAGAAGAGCGTTTCATACAATCAAAACCCTTCCGGTACTGGTTCCAGTGTTTATTGGTGATAGAAGCCGATTACTAGGAGTTGCTCATGGCACCATTCAGATTCGATTGAAGTCAGGTGCTGTCTTGGAACTTGAAGCTCTATATGTTCCAAAGCTTAAATACTCTCTCATCTCGGTTGCTCGCCTCTGTCAAAGATATAGTATTACCTTCTCCTCTATGACTTGTGAGATCGTAGGAAAGGCAAGAAAGCCGAACCGATTAGCAGTACTCCAAGATGGGCTCTGGAGACTTTGTGGCTCACCTCTCACGATACATACTTCACATGAGCTTCTTGCAAGATCTGGGTCTTCTATCGCTAAGTTGTTTTGGGTACTATGGCACTCCAGACTCGCCCACCTAAACCTTAACTCTTTAAAGGTTACTATAGGCGACTCTCTCCAACAACTATCCACAAGTGATACAGAGGACCTAGTTGGTTGAACAGTTTGTATACTGGCAAAGCAGCAGCGCAAAATTATCCGCCAACCTGTTCCAAGAACTATACGCCCATTTGAGGTGATACACTCAGACCTTGCTGGACCTATTGCGGTACCTTCATGCTCAGGAGCTCGCTACTTTATACTCTACATAGATGACTATACACGCTACACTTCTGTGTACTTTCTGCGAACCAAACAGGCTACCAAAGTTACAGGCTGTTTTCAAGAGTTCATAATCCGGATTGGAAAGCGGTTTCCACAGTTCCCTGTCACCAGATTTAGATGTGACAATGGAAGAGGGGAATATTCCAATAAATTCTTTCGAGGCATTCTTCGTACATCAGCAGTGTTGTTTGAGCCAGCTCCGCACTATACTCAGCATAAAAATGGACTGTCTGAGCTCATGATAAGGACTATAGCAACAAAAGGAAAATGTTTGCTCTTGGACTTGAAGCTGGACCCAAGTTTGTTGGCTGAAGCTATTAATACAGC